TAAAACTTGAGCGATGTCACAGGCAAGATAGATAGAGGTGGCGCGACATTTCTGATCAAAGGAAGTTCTAGGGAAAATGTAACAGTTAATAGGGACTGCCATAAAACTTTTTTTTACATCCGAAATATATCGAAAGTTTTACGATGCTATGAGAATTTAATGGAATAATAAATATAAGAATGAGATAACAAAGCGCAATTGCAGTAAAGAGCATTTGTAAATAAAGGTAAAGCAAAAGCAAAACGGTTGTTTTCGGCAACGTCCGATCTCTTTACTTCATTCGTTCGGACTGATTCTTGATATTTTAATTTTTTATCATCAGTTGCAATAGTTTTCCTGTAATTTTACATCGTTTACGTATGCATTTTACTACTTGTACATCATGGTGGCCTTCCTTCGAACTTTTATTCAGCTATATAATAATAAAGCAATACATAATTCACAGTGCATTGACATAAATGTTGGCGAATCTCGACTTCAACAGGAGCAATAACATAAAAAAATATATATTTACAAGATTTGCGACAGCAATATGCCGAAAGCAACAGAGTAGTAAACCTCTAACTATATTTTGCATTATTCTTTTGACCTTACTTTTAATTCATATATAGTGCTTGTGAGCACAGTAATTAAGCCTATGCGATTGTAACCCTTGGATGACAAAAGGGTTAGACATAAATGGTATTAAAACATATATTCTTAAATGTATACCCAGTATAACCAGTAATGTATACTTAATGGGCGTAGGAAGAGGGGCAGGGGGTGGGTTAACGTCCTCCTATTCTGGAGTGGAGGGGACGGGTGCGGGACCCCCACCCCCACTCCTCAACTTTCGAGGACATTAAATTAACAATGCAATTTCTTCGTTACCCAGTTGTTGAGAAGACTGACCCCCTGCATCTGAGAGGGCAGCTACAGCCGCGTCTGGTGTTCAAAATGAAATAACGGTTTAAAGTTAAAGTCGGTCATGATGGTTGCTGAAACATGGACAGAATTTCCAGCATGTCCGAGTCGTATGATGTGGTATTGACCTCGATAGGATGAATATTTAAAAAAATTTCTGTACCGCTAGGATGTAAGCTTATAAACTCGAAAGTATCAAAGGAAAGGCTGTATATGTTGGTTAGTTTGTATATCACGTACAAATAAATGCTTGTAATCATTGAAATTGCCCAGCTGTGAGATTTGGACTCTATGTGAATGTGGAGCTCACTTGTTGTGGAGATAATAGAATGCAAAACTTCGAGCAACATACACCTTCCATGTGAAGAACAATGAATGTAATAAGGAAAAATGTTTGGTCTAAATCTGAGAGATACATTTGAAAGTTTCCATAGCTTTGCGAAGCGAAGAGTTATGTATAAATAATCAATGAATTCTAGAATAATCAAGGGCTTATTTATTTTATTTGAAAACTTCCTTAATATTTTGCTTATATATATATGTTACATAACATACCAGCATATTTTATAGTTTAATGGTTTTCTATCGACTTTTCAATGTTAAATAATGAAAAATAACCTTTTTCAAATTTTTGTATGTCAGAACAAACCTGTCATGCCGTGCTTTGTAGCGATCACGAGCCTACATCAAACAATGTATCAAATGTATCAAACAATGTGTTAGGGGTTTCTGGATGTTACCATAAAAAGGCCTTAAATATTCCTCATTGTCAACCAATATGAAATTATAAAAACTCGAAAGGCAAATTCTCCTTCAGGTCGTCATCCTGGACGAGCCGAGCAGTGGGCTGGATCCTGAGTCTCGACGCTGGGTCTGGGACGTGGTGCAGGGAGAGCGCGGGCGTCGGACCTTCCTCATCACGACGCACCACATGGAAGAGGCGGACGTGCTCGGGGACCGCGTGGCGATCATGGCTTCGGGGCGGGTCGTGTGCACAGGCTCTACGCTTTTCCTCAAAAGAAAACCTTCGGTCATTCAGTGGGTATGGCTTTCGGGAAATTAAGGAGCCAAGTAGAAAGTGGTGTAGATTATTCAGTCTGAGATATTAAAGTTCATATCCACGTTCACTTGACATAGCATTCTGACATTTCTTCATTCGGTTCCTTGTCCATGGTTTCAGGTGATGGCTATACTCTGACTGTGATGGTGAATAATGAAACTGTGGTAGAAGCTATCAAGGGAAAAGTGGAGGAACACTTGCCTTCCGCCACCCTGGCCAACGTCCACAGTGGAGAACTGACCTTTAAACTCCCGCCGGACACCGAAAAGTTTGCTGCCATGCTGGACACCCTCTCGGCCCACAAGGAAACGCTGGGCATTAGACACATTAGCCTTTCCCTCACTAACATGGAGAGGGTTTTCCTCAGGTTAGTTAGATGTGTCATGTTTAAGTGCAGGGCTGTGAAAGTAGGATAATACAGACCGTTAAAAACGAGAAAAGAGTATGAGAATTAGCAAGAATTTCTTGTATTCCTCTACTACTGTTGAACAGCAAGCGGAATAAATTATGCCTCACGCATTTTCACAGGTCTTGGATCCAATGACCGTTTAATTTGTCACACATAGAATATTATTGTAAGTACCAGTGCTCTTTTTCCTATCTACAGAGTTGGCGAACTGTTGGACGGTGGTAGTAGCACTAATGGAAGCTCCGTGAATCGTGGCACTAACGGCTTAACCATGACACAGGGGAATGGAAGCACGAATGGAGGAGACTGCAGCTCTGTGGGATCTACCTTTGATCTTGAGTCTGGCTACACCAGTAGCACTCACCAGCTTCACCGGGACGAAGACAGTAAGGAAAACATGTTTTCATGATATTAAACAACCATCGATGTTTGGAATATGGTCCTCATTTATTTCTGTAAATAAAAAAGAGGTTGATGGAGTAGTGTGTCTGTGAGGTTTTTACTAAATAACAACACAAAGGTAGACTCTCCTTCGTTTTGGGCTTTTGATGTTTTAACTAATTGCCTACCATATTTCCAGATAATAGAAGGAAGCTCCAAGGAAAACCGTTGGCATTTCAGAGGCTTAAAGCTTTCCTAATCAAACGGCTCATCTACTGTAAGAGGAAGTGGGTCCTTCAGATAACACAGGTAAACTTTTCACATTATAACTGATTAACTCTTTTTTCTTTCTTTCTTTTTGTGTATGAATTTACGAAATCCATTAATATAAAGGTATACAGCATGACGCAGTTAAAAATTCTTACAAACGTAATGCTTCACAGAGTCTGATTCCTGTGCTGGTGAGCATCATTTGCCTCCTTGTGGACAACAGCATTCAAACCCTGTCGAGCAGTGAGCCCCCACTCCAGCTGGGCCTTGACCTCATCTCCCCGTCGACCTCTTTCGTTCACGCCGATGGAAATAAGCAGCCTCTAATGGACCATTATGTGTCCCTATTTTCTCCTCCACATAAGGTATTTCCTTTTGTTTAACACACGGTGTTCATTACAAAATTAGGATGGAATCTGAAGGTGATCGTCAATCTGGAACTATATCATTATATATTTTTATTTTATGCATATTGTATTACTATTATTTACAGAATTAACATTTTCCCAGTAAAACACTAGCTATTCAGTCTCTTATTACAATATTTCCCATTTTATCAGATATTAAACGCTACCAACATGACAGCAAGTCTTCTTAAGGCTGCCAACGAGAATATCCAATACTACCGGGAAAACAGCATATGCTCCGTAAGTGCTATAGAGCTAGGCTGGAGGTCTTGTTAAGTAAATAAGGATTTAGCCATCTGTGGATATTATGTTAGTATAGTTTAGTCTCAGTGTGCCCCAACTATGGATATATGTTGGAAATAGGTGGGCAATCTGTCATATTGGATATTATTAAGCGAAGTAGCATGGCAAATGCGATCTACTATATTGGATGTTATAAAGAGGATGTCATGTTCTTGGGCAAATTTAGGCCCTTCACCAGTATGTACCTGGGCACAGGCGGCGGAAATAGGACATCTGTAATTAACCACATCACGTGGGGAATGAGGATGTTGCCACTGACACCGGCTGGACTGATTAAATTCCCAGCAGTTGACCTTCACCCTAAATTTTGTGACTGCGTGTAGCTGGGATAAGAGCCAGAATATTTAAATGCACTCTACTGACAGGATGGAATTCATAGTGCAAATAATCAATGAATACTTGGGGCTATTCCAAGATAACATGTTAAAGATTAGGCAGGATCCCCGGCCAAGTACAAAGAAGGATGTGCAGGCTTTTCGTGGCTTGATGAGGTACTATTTTTAGTAAGTACACATGCCAGCATCCGTGCCCCCTTGCGGTACAGACAATGAAGGGGAAGCCAAATGAAGTAGGGTGAGAGTACCTTTAAGAAGCAGCATACTCTTCTCTCAATTCCTGGTTGGCTTACCAGCCAATCCATAGACTGACCAATCACTTCCATACATACATCTTGCACACTGATGTATCAGATATTGGTAAAAGTGCAGTCCTGCTGCGGGAATGGGAAGTTATATCCTGTTGGCTATGCCAGCAAGCTGTCTAACTGCTAGAGGAGGTAATCAGCCATGGATAAGGAATGTTTGGCTACTGTTTGGTCTGTGAGGAAATTCTACAATACGTAGTTCATCTTACAGATCAACTACTGGCTTACCTACGGAGAAAATATGGACACGCCAGAATTATGTACCAGCAGAACTAGATCCAAGTTGCAGACAATCAATTGAAGTGGCAATGGTAGGGCTGATTTCCCTAGCAAAGAATACTCACCAGACGACCCTATCATTGCACCAAGCGGGGAAGAATCGAGTAATGTTTATGCCCAAGATGTTTAGATGATATCCATCCTGGATGATTATCTTAAGATGAAGGGAGAATATGTTAAGTTCTTCTTAGGCACACCCTGGACCCTCATCAATGTGCATCTGGGCCCCGACGGTGGCAATAGGTCTCCTGTGATTGGCCACCACACCATGTGGGGATCGAGGTATTGCTACTGACAATGGCTGAACGGATAAAAGGGGTATCAGCCAAACCCCAGCAGTTGACCCATCCCCTTCCTTATTTTGTGACTGTACCTGTAATATGTTGTGCGTGGTATTGTAGACTGTATTGAGTTCATCTGGATGTGTCTGTTACTTTTTGTTTATGTGTATAACCTTAGTTCTGGATAGATAATGGATTTTTGAGTGCCTTTGCAACTCTTTTGTCTGATTCATAACTTGAATTTGGTAAAAAAAAAAAAAAAAAAAAAGACTGCCTTAACATCCCTATAGGCCGAATTCCTGGACCTCCCGAGCTACCCCGAAGAGCACACTCGGCTGAATATGCTGTACCAGTCTGTCCCGCACCATGTCCTGGGTATCAGTACCTCTCTGGTGGACAACGCCCTGTTACGACTTGCGACCAACTCAGTGGACCACGATATCACCACGACAAATCGCCCGCTGCCGATAGACACAACTGTGAGATACTTTATAATTACGTTTGAATGAAAATAGATATGGTGAATTTCTCGTATGTAAATATGTAACGATTGTGGTGCCTGTTGAACATCATTATCGTGGTGGAAGTGACCTAATGAAATCTTTGTTGAGAACGTTGTATTAGTTTATTTGAAGCAATCACTTTAAGGTCTGATAGATGCTCTTCAATTCCCCAGTGGCAGTTCCGGACAGATTTTTCCACTAGCGCCTTGGTGTACTCCAGCGTGATGCCTCTTGCTCTCTGTTTTCTCTCTGCCTCATTCCTGGTCTTCCCACTGCAGGAGAGGGAAACTAAGGCTAAGCAGGTATGGCATCTAATAGCAGGAGAACCACTGGATTAGGGGCTGTAATTTTCCTTGACAATGAATTTGCTTCTCTTCTCTTTTTATGTGTTATTGCTAGAGTACCGCGATTTCAGTCTGTAACCTTTTTTTATTACGACACTTTATCTGTTTAAAATAATTTTTCCTCCATTCTTATTTGTTACACGAATTTTATACTATTTTTACACAGCATCTATCATCCCCTTTTGTTCTTTATACACTGATCTCTTCCATATGCCATGACACAACCTTTGCAGGTCCAGATCATGACTGGCGCCCCTGTGTGGGCGCTCTGGGCCTCATCCTTTGCGTGGGACTTCTTGGCGTACATGGCAACAGCGCTCCTGATCTTCATCTTCTTTGTGGCCATCAATCCGAGCAACTTCTTTTTGGCTCCCCAGGCCGCTGGTGGGTGCCTGCCGCATTTCTTTCGTTACCATCGTTTGAATTTATTGAGCATGATAAAAAAAACGTAAATTTATGTTGTCCTTTAAGTAATGCGACAATTTTATGTTATTTCAGGAGTACTCTTCTTTTTGCTGATGATGTACGGGTGGGGCAGCATCCCCCTGTCCTATGTCTTTAGTTTCCTCTTCAAGACAGCAGCTTCAGGTTTTGCTATTCTCACCCTTATCAACATTGTGGCAGGTAAGAACTGTACTACTGTATCCCTACTGTACCATTGAAGGGATGCAATGGGACTGTGATAAACTTATTACAGCTTTTAAGAGCCAATTATCCTGCATCAGTCTCTCTCTCTCTCTCTCTCTCTCTCTCTCTCTCTCTCTCTCTCTCTCTCTCTCTCTCTCTCTCTCTCTCTCTCTCTCTCTCTCTCTCCTCTCTCTCTCTCTCTCTCTCTCCTCTCTCTCCTCTCTCTCTCTCTCTCTCTCTCTCTCTCTCTCTCTCTCTCTCTCTCTCTCTCTCTCTCTCTCTCTCTCTCTCTCTCTCTCTCTCTCTCTCTCTCTCTCTCTCTCTCTCTCTCCTCTCCTCTCCTCTCTCTCCTCTCTCTCTCTCTCTCTCTCTCTCCTCTCTCTCTCCTCTCCTCTCTCTCTCTCCCTCCTCTCTCTCTCTCTCTCTCTCTCTCTCTCTCTCTCTCTCTCTCTCTCTCTCTCTCTCTCTCTCTCTCTCTCTCTCTCTCTCTCTCTCTCTCTCTCTCCTTTCCCGCCATCGGTGTTTCTGAAAATCAACCCATGGCTTCCACAGGTCAGATGTTGAGCTTGGTGGTGTACATACTGAGCATGACTGGAGTGTCTGGAGCTGAAACCGCCGGGGATGTTCTTCATTGGATCAGTTCCATCATTCCTACCTATCCCGTATCTGTGGTGAGTATTTTCGTGTGGAATATATATGCAATGGAAACGTAATCCACGAGGAAACGAGGAATACATGGTTATCTACAAGATTCTCACACAGTGTTATGATATTGCTTAATCTGTAGTAGTAACTAATTGATTTATTTCGATGTTGCAGGCTTTCCGACACTTGGTGCAAACGAGCGTGCAGAATTCCTTCTGTGACAAATTTGACGCGAACATGACTGCTCAGCTGTGTGCGCTCCTCGCCATTACTGATCGGAAGAACGATTTTGTTCAATGTTGTCGTAAGTAAAGGAAAATTGATTGCCTTAAGTAAACTTCTGTTGGTATTTCCTCAAAATTCCCCCTTTTCTCCTTTATTTTAATCCTTTGTTTCCTTATCATTACATTTTTAATAGTTCATATTTATTTTTTTCTATAATTATTGCCTCGTTATTTTCAGCATATAATTGTGTAGCACTTCTCAATTTTCGTCTGTTGACTGTGTACATGTTTGTGTAGTTGCACAAACCTGGAACTCTTCTTTCAGATTCAGTAGTGAATTGCCTCTGCTCAGGAATTGTCAGATGCATATATTGTTAAACCCAATAAGCTTTAAAATGGAAAAGACACTGCGCGGTGTGTTTTATTTGCTGTCAATAAAAAAGAAAATAAATGTTGCTCTGTCGTGACAGTTTGAAATAAGGAGTGGGGAAGTTTGTAAATTAGGGTAAATCAGTTTAAAGTCTTACTACACCAATATATTGTATTTTCGAGAACAATTTGAATAGCCACAAATGGTACAATTATAGTACTAGCCGTATCTTAATTAATTAGCGAAAATATAGACTAGTGGCAGCTTGATATATGAAATGCTCCATTACATACGGGTTGAGAATTCGGTCTCTCGCGCAGAGTAACCGCCGGACGATCAAAAATAATCGATGTGCGGGTGACCAAATTGCTTTTGTTCAAATGTTTTGGTCGCCCACAGTGTATTGAACAATTCTACGGAAGGTAATTTAAAAAGAAAAAATAGCAGATATGCAAGATGCTGACCGATTGTGTTTGATAATTTGTAAAAGTATATTGTTAACCTCATAATGTCCGTCCAAGATGAACGGAGATTCCCGAACAACGCCGATCGCAATGGTGTCTCGCGCTTAACAGAGATTCCATGCACCAGTGCATAGGTAGTATAGTGGCGCCTAATGTATTCACTTGAGCAAGACCTCGTCCGGTGCTCACAGCATGGAGAGATTAAAATCACCGAGTACAGAAATTTTTATCTATGGATTTACCACACTGCACGGTAGGCTTGAAAGGTTCTTCATTCTCATGCCGATGCCGCCAGGGGCATTGCAGATTATTTGCGAGAACCGTCCAGTCTCCTTAGATACTTGGCAATGGTTGGGGCCTCCTCAGTCTTGAGGCAAGTCGAACACAAAAGACAAGAAGAAAAGTTGTGAACCATGAAATTTATTTACTAGTCTTTTGGTCAGGTGGGAGACCAGAGATCTCTCAGGTCAAATGTGGGCGACTAGAGGAAGCTGCTTGAGTCCCACTAGGAGACCACCTTTGAACTGTAATTGTCCACCCCTGCACGCACGAACACACACACGCGCGCGCACACACGCACACACACACACACACACGCGCGCGCGCACAACTAAAACGTCCTCATAAATTCCCCATTTCAGCGGCCGTGTGCGGCAGGAACAACACCACCCCTTGCTTCGAGTGGCAGTCCTACTTCCGCTTCAGCGAGAACGGCATGGGACCCGATCTCCTCACACTCTTCGTCGACGGCCTCATCTTCTTCTGCCTCGTCGGCCTCATCGAGGCTGGCTTTGGACGCGTCTTGCTGTGAGCGGATTTCGATACATGTGTCCGTGTTTGTGTGTACGTGAGGAGAGTGTATATAACAAGAGGTATGTTTGTAAATGCAAGTAATGAAAAGCCGTAACGATGTCGCCTCTGCCACAGGCGGTGGTGGCGCGAGTGTACGGGGAAGGCTGGGATGTTCCGGCGAGCCAGGATATCCCAGCAAGAAATGCATCAGGACGAGGACGTCGTGGCAGAGGAAGAGCTGGTGAAAAGGATGATGGCCCGCGCACAGGGAGATGCAGGTATGCTTACCACCTGTGTTATATATTGCCCTTTTCGTAAATTTGGAAATGAGGCCTATGGCGTTTTCTGGGTAAAAATATTATACTAATAACTTACAACGTATCTTTCATTCATTGCTGGATACGAAACTGGCATCTTAACTTATCTGGCAGGATAGAGCCTAGATCCTCAATCCAATTTGGATATCTTGCCTTGCGCAACAATAACTCAAGGGCCAGAGTTGCGCACCATCGGGATCCTCCTTGTCGCTGTTTCCTTGATATTTTGAAAAGTAAACATGAAGTTTTAACAAAATTTTCCCAAGAACTGCACTGCATGTTAAGGATAATGGAGCTAATTGTCTATCTGGCTGTTGCCCCCTAAGGTCCAGCCTCTCTTATCGCGTGATTATGTGTTGCCCTAACAGAGATAAAATCGTTAAATGTTATAATTTGTAGAATAAATTCAGTTCGATATTAAACACTGGCTAAACGAATAGATTCTGGCAAACGCCGTCACTTGTAAACATATAATTACTAGTTTGCAAAACAAAACAACTATTTCACTAAAATGATCATTCAGCCTTTATTAACCGGGCAGCAGTGATATAAGAGGCCATGTGCTAGTTTTTATTTATTAATTTAAATCGTGAAATATTTAAAAAAAATCATTATTCAATGTCAATTTCAGTAGCATCGTATTGAAAGAAAGAATAAAATCAATTTAACAATAATATAACGTTATTAAAACTAAAGAAGATATTGATTTACATATACCCTCATTAAAACGATAATTAAGTGACACTATTGGTAACACAATGGGGAATCATATGTTTTACTTAAAGACAGTGCTCAAAGCGTTCACTTATGAACCGTCTAGAATACCTGGGAGAAGGAACTTTACAGTAAAATGAAAAATCAACAGAGAGATATCTTGTGTACATGAAAAAAAAAATCAGTAGAATCTTCCTTGAAAATAAAATCTATTAACTGAAGGGTTCATCAATAACGGAAATCCAAAAATAACGGCAATAACAAGAACTAGGGAAGTCAACGTATCTCAAAATAAGAACGCATTAAGGAGCAAACCGTCATGGCCTATAACCCAACGATTTCCCTGTCTCCCGTCACGCAGTTCTTGGCTTCCTTTGAGACATTTAGGCGCCGTATCTATGCGAGTCAATGGAAGAGTGAACGAACGCCAGGCATTTGCAGGGAACGATTCGAGGATGAACGTAAAATTCCTCTCTTTCATCAGGATTAGAACTTTGTACATTTATCTTTTACATAACATCATATGATTCCAACCATAGTGTGATAAATGCGAAAATCGGTTACTGAAATTAATATTTGTGAATGCGGTTTCCCTGGCAATGTTGTGTAAACCCCATAGATACACTAACGCCATTTCAGTCTATATCAAATACCAATCTGGGCATTAGAATAAACTATTACCTCTATTAGATTCGATGTTAGTGTTGCATTCCGTTAGTGTCCTATTTATTTTATAACGATACGAAGCACACAATTTCAATTAAAGAAGCTGTAGCGCGAGTAGTTTTAGTGTGCCGTAGAACCGCTACAGTTTATGCATTGTTTATCAATGGTCGAAACATGAAAAATGACAAAGGATATTTTTCAGTAAAGATTCTGCCATATGAACACATGATCAATGAAATGCTTGTGAACATGTCTCGTCTGGTTTTCTATAATGTATGTAGCTAAGCTTACGATGTTAAATGTGAAGAAAAAAGAGAACATGACTCTTGTAAGCCAAGCATCTAGAGTAATAATGGAAAATGCGCAATATTAAGGTAAGTAGGAGACTGTTTTAGTAAATGTGTTTAAAATACAACATTTAAAACTAAGACCTTGAATGAGTTTGTGAGTAGGCTACATCTGATCATTATCACAACGCCAGAGATTGTGACCTATACGCATAATAGTATGCTCAAGTACGATTTTAATTGGCTCGTTTGATTTCCCTCGAATATGTCGTTCAGTAAGATCTCGTCCAGTGTTTGCGTCATTTTCTCCGACTTATTGAAAGGGCACGAATAACGAGGCTTATGGAATCTATGTTTCGCTAATTCTCTATTGTCCTATGGGATAAAAACGTTTCTTAGAATGCAATGTTCTCCTGGATGGTAAGGTCAGATTCTTCAGCTTCTGTGTTAGGTGTTATTCCCAATACTACCACCTGTTAGAATTCATATATCTAATCTATCTTTTAATGCCATCACACACTCTCTCGTCAAAATTAAATAAATAATGAAATCCAGTCCATGTTTATCACTTGCAGTTTAACAGTATACTGCATTTATTCACCTTAGAACAGTATCTGAATTTCTTACTTTATTAATCCGTAACATTGTGTAACGGTAACTGATGTCCTTTCCAGTACTTATTTTTAGGATCAAATCTCATATTGTTAATTCTATAAATTTCCTTGCACTCTATTAACCTCATATATTCTTCTCCTCCTCCTCCTCCTTCTTCTTCTTCTTCTCCGCCTCCTCCGCTTCTTCCTCCTCCTTTGCCTCCTTTTCTTCCTCCTCCACCGCCGCCTCCTACTCCTCCTTCTCCGCCGCCGCCGCCTCCTCCTCCATCCCACAGTCTCGGCGGATAAAGCGATGTTTGTTTCTGAACTATCAAAGCACTTCTTCGGCTCGCTGATTCCCGCCGTCAACAAGGTGAGCTTCACTCTTGGGCGTGGAGAATGCCTGGGGCTGCTGGGTGTCAATGGGGCCGGCAAGACCACCACCTTCAGGATGCTGACGGGCGATGAAGAACCCTCAGGTGGGAATGCCTTCATCGACCGGATCTCGCTGATGCACCAGAGGAACAAGGTGGGTGGAATGGAGACGAAGGGGATCACCTTAGTATCATGGCACATTGGCTCATTTTGTGGCAGTAAAATAGCGTTTGACGTGCGATTTTCTTCAAGTGCTGAACGAATGGAAAATTTTCTCTTACTCTTATACGTAATTGTCTAACTCTGATTTCTTGTTTGGACAGTTTGTGCAGAATGTAGGCTACTGTCCTCAGTTCGATGCCATTATGGGTGAACTAACAGGCAAAGAGATGCTATGGTTAATGGGAAGACTCCGTGGTGTTCATGATATTACACTACGGAGGGAAGTGGAAGAGCTAGTAGCACTGGTGGACCTGACAGAGTGTGCGTCTCGGCCGTCCTCGACGTACTCTGGCGGAAATCGGAGAAAGTTGTCTACTGCCATGGCGTTGGTTGGGGCGCCGCCCCTGATTTTCCTTGACGAACCCACAACTGGTGTGGACCCAGCGTCTCGCCGTCGGGTGTGGACGGTCGTGAGTCGCGCGGTTAACAACGGGCAGAGCGTGGTCCTCACCAGTCACTCGATGGAGGAATGTGAAGCTCTGTGCTCCCGCATAATCATGATGTCCAAAGGAGCTTTGCGCTGCGTGGGCACCACGGGGCATCTGAAAGCGAAGTTTGGCCAGGGTTATAGCCTCCAGGTCAAGCTGAAGACCCATGACCTTAGTCAGGCCGGCGACGATGAGAATGAGCGGATTTATCAGTCCAAATTATCGGAACTAAAAAATATTGTAAGCTCATACTTCCCAGGTGCAACGGTGTCAGACGAACACAAGGTAGGTTCAGCATGACATATTTTACAGATTTGTATCTGCTGAAACATAAGAATATATTCTTGGCACATGCCACCTTACCTGTCCAGGAAATCTCGATTTTATTCGCCTACCTGTGGTATTGTCATTAAGTAACAAAGATGCCATATAGTTTTTTATTATTATTTATTGGGCAAGAGTATATATGAGCTAACTGAACTTCCTTTTCAGGGAACGATTGCATACTTAGTTCCGAAGAACATATCGTGGGCGTTGTTATTCTCGGTCATGGAAGACCTGAAGGCAGGACGAAAGCCCGGGTCAGAACATCAGAGTCAGCCACAACCGACAGATAGCGCGAGTATGCCACCATTCGTTGAAGACTACGCTGCCTCCGACACCTCCCTGGAACAGGTGTTTCTTTCCTTTGCTAGGGAAGCTAATCCTGGTGAGGTAGGAGCAGCGGTAAATCCCCAAACCAGCACAGGGAATCTCTCTGAACAATCAAGCAATAGACTAAGTGAAGGTGTGGCAGGAGGGAGTGAAATACAGCCGACGCCAGGTAATGTCAGCAGCCCGGGAATACAGACTTTTCAGGAATTTTTCTCTCCCCATAACCCAAACGAGCAGCAGATTTCAATGGTTACAGTTAATAATTCCAGGGATTTACTGACTGAACTCTAGTCAAAGTAAGGTAGACTGTATACTGTATAAATGTATTTTAAATGTCAGACTTCTGAAATAATTATACTATTAAAATCAAGTCGGAGGTCGCGCTCCCTTTCATCATCGCAATAGACAAACATGTTATCGTACCGCATACCGTCATGTCCAAGGTCTATATACTTCTTTAGATCTTGGTCACTTAGAAGCTACAAATGCGAATACACTTCCCAGATATATGCCGAATCTCCATTTTCAACCACTGGGCCGAACCTCTTAGCACCTTCCCTCCGTAGATTTGAGATTATGTCGTCTAAGTACCTATTTTATGTAGGCCTATATTTTTTTCAAATTAAAGGTATTAAAAGTTGAATTAAACATTACGTGTAGCCTACATCTGTAAGCATTTCTATTAATATTTCTACTCTAGCATGAAGAAAAATATTTTGAAATCAACCGAAACAGATCAGCAGTGTATAAACAGATGTTATGAAAATCGAAATTGGACGATGTTATTCACACACGCATAGCAGGAGTCGATTTACGAAGCAAGTGTTAAGAAAATAAGCTTCAAATACTGTATTATCAATTACCGATCATGTTCCAGCCCTACCAGCCGTATAATAAATCCGTAGGAGAGGGCGTGGCTTCCTTTTTTCTAGAATGAACGCACTAAAGTGGATTTCTACCTGATATGATTATCATGTTTATGTATACATTGAAATGCTATAGTGCCTCGCTGATTCACATAACTGCCAAGTAAAATGCCTTTATGCATATTTTTGATCTCTAAATTCACATAGTCTAGAAGTCAGATTGTTTGATTATGAATCTGTTGTAATAGATTTCCTTTGATTGGTTATCATAATGCATGATTTTCTTCTCAATGTATTTTTCTTATTAATGTTTCAGAGCATTGTGCGAATGGCCATATGTAGATGAAGTTAATATAAATTTGTATAAATGTAAACCCACATTTTTTTCTCGTTCTAAAAAATACAAAAAAATAGATATTTGCCGCATTTTTATTATTTCCTTATGACTTGAGCCAATACCAGTATTTCTCCACTACCTCTGTCTGATAGCTTAGAAACAATCTGTGATAGGCAGAACAGTATTGGTAATTAAATCCCAAATCATCTTCATGAATTTGTCAGACTGTTAGCGTCCATCATTAATATTAGTCATTCAGCATTAAAGTTTCAGTAGTATCTAAATCCAAACAATTTGTAATTCCCCGTAGCAATTTTTCTCTCACGATCTCCAAAGGCTGGGTCCCTCTCATGTGATGCGGTCTTCTTGATTTATTATTTTAATCATCACCATCTTCTAACCCATTGTGGCCGGGATGGCGAGTCTGCATGTCACGCCTACCGTCTTGTTTTTACACGTTGTTCTAACTCACTTGTTTAACCTTTTCCTTGACTTTCTGAGATATTCATTTTTATTGCTCAAATATACATCGACTTACACATAGTGCTTGCGTGTGTGTGAGAGCGCATATTTATGTATGCACATATATGTATATATATTTGTGTGAGTGTGTGTTGTGTGTGTGTGTTGTGGGTGTGTGTTTTGTGTGTGTGTGTGTTTTGTGTGGGTGTGTGGTTTGTGTGTGTGTTTGTGTGTTGTGTGTGTGTGTTGTATGTGTGTGTGTTTTGTGTGTGTGTGTGTGTGTTTGTGTGTGTTTGTTGTGTGTGTGTGTGTGTGTGTATGTGTGTGTTTGTTGTGTGTGTGTGTGTGTGTTTGTTGTGTGTGTGTGTGTGTGTGTGTGTGTGTGTGTGTGTGTGTTGTGTTTGTTGTGTGTGTGTGTGTGTGTGTGTTTGTGTGTTGTGTTGTGTGTGTGTGTGTTGTGTGTGTGTGTGTGTTGTTGTTGTGTGTGTGTGTTTGTTGTGTGTGTGTTTGTTTGTTGTGTGTGTGTTTGTTGTGTGTGTGTTGTGTGTGTGTTTGTTTGTGTGTGTGTGTGTGTTTGTTGTGTGTGTGTGTGTGTGTATGTGTGTTGTGTGTTGTTTGTTTGTGTGTGTTGTGTGTGTGTATGTGTGTGTTTGTTGTGTGTGTGTGTGTGTGTGTGTTTGTTGTGTGTTTGTTATGTGTGTGTGTGTGTGTGTTTGTTGTGTGTGTGTGTGTGTTTGTTGTGTATATGTGTGTGTTTTGTGTGTATGTATGTGTGTGTCGTGTATGTGTGTGTGTGTTTGCTGTGTGTGCGTGTGTTTGTTGTGTGTGTGTGTTTGTTGTTTGTGTGTGTGTGTTTGTTGTGTGTGTGTGTGTTGTGTGTGTGTGTGTGTGTTGTGTGTGTGTGTGTGTGTTGTGTGTGTGTGTGTGTGTGTGTGTGTGTGTGTGTGTGTGTGTTTGTGTGTTGTGTGGTTTGTTGTGTGTGTGTGTTTTGTTGTGTGTGTGTGTGTGTTGTGTGTGTGTGTGTGTTTGTTGTGTATGTGTGTGTGTTAATGGTTAATGGTTAATGGTTAAGATAAATGTGCTAGACATCTAAGGTCATATAGCACTATAGGAAAGTATAGTAAAGAGGGATGTCAGGTGACAGTTGTAATGTGTCAACTATCTAGAATATTGTTGAGAGGTTGAGGATGAGGGAAAAGATTATGGTGGTTTAGGTAAGGGAGTTAGATCAAGTGAAGGATATTTATGTGTCTGAGGAAGGAGAACAGGTTGTCGAGGCAGAAACTGTGAGATTCTGTAAGGATGTCTGATATGTTGGGAGGTCGGTGAAGGGAGGATAGGTGTGGAAAAGCAGAGGTACGTGCTGTATTAAAACGTGGACAGGACAAGAGAATGTGTGGGACTGAAATAGGGATGTTACACAGAGGACATAGGGGCGGGTCTGAGCGTGACATCAGATAGGCATGTGTTAGGCGAGTGTGGCCAATACGTAATCGTGCGAGGGCAGTCTCCCAACGTCTGTTCTTGTGAAATGGAGCTGACCAAGAGGAGATTGATGGTTTTACGGTATGTAATTTATTGTTGTGGAGTCTTGACCAAAAAGATTGCCATCGGGTATACAAGAAAGTCTTAAAGTGGGGGTAGTAATCTGTAGCTGGAATATGTGAGAAGCGTTGTTGAGGTGATGAGGACATTGCGGCATATCGTGCAAGAGTATCTGCCTGTTCATTGCCAGGGATTCCAACATGGCTGGGTACCCAGCAAAATCTGACAGATTTGTGACGTGTGGATAGATAGAACAACCAGTTCTGGATCTTACAGACAAGGGGATTGGTCGAGTGCATTGACTTTATGAGGGTTAAAGAATTACGGGAGTCAGTAAAATAGTAAAAAGAGGAAGAGGTGGATGAATATATGCGTCTTAAGGCAAAAAGGAGTGCATATAGTTCTGTAGTAAGGACACTAGATTCAGGAGGAGGGTGTATTTGAAAGTGCAATTTGGGAATGTTACTGCGAATCCAGCTCCTGAGATGGATTTGGAACCGTCAGTGTAAACATGAATGCTGGAGGAATGAATGGAGACATGGTCAAGGAAATGAGCGAGAAGGATAGAGGGGGGAATATCTGATTTTGGTGGGTCAGGGGAAAACTGAGGAGCAAATACAGGGGTTAGGTATAAGCCATGGAGGAATGGAATGGACAGACAGTGGGAGAGGTCGGAGATGAGGGAAGGGGGAATGGGAGAGGAGGGTATCCATGCGTACGGGGAGAGGAGTTGGTAAAACGTGGAGAAAGGTAAAGGTATGAAGTAAGGATTGTGGAATAGTTAGTTTGGTAAGGGAAAATTGGTGAAATCGAGCATAGCATCGGAGAGAGAGAAGGGCTCGACGTCGAGAGAGGGACGGCATGCCTGATTCAGTATATATGCTCTCAACTGGAGAGGAGCGGAAGGCGCCTAGGGCTAAGCGGAGACCGCTGTGGTGGACTGTATCAAGGTGAGCAAGAAGAGAGGTTGAGGCAGAGGAGTAGATATGGCATCCATAATCTAGAGTGGAGAGAATCAAAGTAACATGAAGATGGAGGAGAGTTTTGTGATCTGAGCCCCAGGAGATATGTGAAAGCGTTTGTAAGATTCGGAGGCGACGTTGAGCTTTTTTCTTGATATACAAGATATGGTCTCGCCAGGACAACTTGGAATCAAAATATAACGCCTAGGAATTTGCCAGAAGACCGGTATTGGAGTGGAGCATTATATAAGAAGAGTGGGGGTTTGGGGACCGTATGTAAGCGAGAGAAAAGGATGGGGAAAGATTTAGAGGTAGAGAAGTGAAAGCCATGGTTGGTGGCCCAAGAAGTTACTGATGTTATTGCAGACTGAAGGAATTGACAGAGATCTGGTATGGATGTGCCAGATGCATAGACGGTTAAGTCATCAACATATAGTGATGCTCTCCTGGCTGAGACTATGTCATTTACAGTAAAGTGGTACTAAGCACACTTCCTTGTGGGACTCCTTCGAATTGAGGAAAAGGATGATGAAGTGGAAGAGGCAATCTTGACCTGGAAAGTACGTTTAGAAAGGAAGGATTTAATGAAAACACCCATGTTTCCACGTAAACCTAGGGAGGACAATTGTTGGAGGATATGGTATCGCCATGTGGTGTCATAATGCTTTTTAGATCAAAGAAAATGGCTAATACGGATTCATGGCGTGCAAATGCCGATGTAATGTATGTCTCAAAATGGGCAAGTGGGTCTGCTGTACTTCGGGCACGTCGGAAACCAAACTGGGAAGGGGAAAGGAGATTATGAGACTCTAGGTACCACATTAAATGGAAGTTAACCATTCGTTCTAGTAGTTTACACAAGCAGCTAGTTAGAGCTATGGGGCGGTAATCTTGGGGTAGGGTACCTGATTTATTGGGTTTTAAGAAAGGTAGGATGAGAGCATCTCGCCAATGAGAAGGAAAATTTCCTGTCGTCCATATGTGGTTGAAAAATAGTTAAAAGGAAGGATAGAGAGGAAGATGGGAGGTGTCGGAGCATACGATAGTGAATGCCATCAGGGCCTTCATGAGTGTTGCGGCACGACTGTAATGCAGCGTTGAGTTCAGAAGAAGAAAAAGGGGCATTATAGGACTCATCAGAGGATAGGGTGAAGGTAATAGGGGTGCGCTTCTTGATGGTTTTAAATGGAAGAAAAGTGTGGGGAAAGGTGAGAGCCACTACTGACCTGGCTGAAATAGTTGCCCAGTTCATTAGCTACTTCTACAGGCTCAGAGATGAGAATATCTCGAATATGGAGGACGGGTGCAGGATGGGGGGGATGTTTGCCTGATAGTTTATGGATCCGTCGCCAAACAGCTGAAATAGATGTAGAAGATGTAATTGAGGAAAACATAATTTTGCCCAGCTATTTGTTTTGCTGTCTTTAATTGTACGGCGAAGATGGGCAGATGCTCTTTTAAAGGAAATAAGGGCTGATAGCTGGTGAGGGGGGTGCCTCGTTTGTAGCGATAGCTGTTCCAGGCTGCTCGTTTTAAGCGGAGCGCTTTGGAGCAATCAGAATTCCACCAATGGAACACATTTAGAAAGTATAGGGTCTTGAAGTTCGAGGAATGGCTGTATAGGCAGCTCTTAGGATCGTTGTTGTAAAACAATGTAGCATATCTGAAATGACAGTAAGGGGGGTGGAGGGATAGGTATAGTAGAGAGTGAAGTGAAAGTATGCCAGTCAGCTCTATCGAAGCACCAGCGTGGAGGATTAGGAAGTGGTACATATGAAGTAGGAGAAAGAAGTATTGGGAAGTGGTCACTATAGGGGAAGTGGTCTAGAACTGACCAATGGAAATCTAGATGTAAAGTAGGAGAGCATAGAGAGAGGTCAAGGCATGAAAAGGATTGTGTGCGCATGTCAAAGTGTGTGGGGCGATCTGAATTAAGAATAATTAGGTTATTTGTGAAGAGGAAGCGTTCTAGAGATCGGCCTCGGGAGTTGGTGGTAGAGTCACCCCACAGGGTGTGGCGGCAGTTGAAATCACCAACTATGAGGAAAGGTGGTTGGAGTTGGGAAATTAGAGTGTCAAAGGCAGTAAAGTCAATGGGATGGGATGGGGAGAAGTAGACTGAAATCACAGTGATCCAGCGGCGGCGAAGAAAGATGCGAATAGCTGTGCACGGGACCGAAGTTTGTATGGGAGGTATGACATAAGGTGTTTTTATGATGGATAAGTATAGACGAGACATAAAGGGAGTGTGGGGAAGAGATAAAATGGTAATTAGGAATTGGAATAGGAGGGTGTGTGAGGAAAGTCTCTTGGAGGCAGATAATAGATGGATTATAAGAAGCAAGGATATGACGTAGGTCTGATCTATGAGAGCGGAAACCGCGAATATTCCAATGTAGGAGAGCTATACCCTAGTTGATTTATGAATGATAACACATTTACGTGTTGGGGAATTTGAAGGGGAAGGAGCTAGGGGGTGTAAAGGAGGGATATTAGGAGGTAGGGAGTCTGGAGAAGGGCATTGTTGTGCCATGAGTGATTCTCGTGTGTATCCTGGAGGGAGTGCAAAGGATAGAGGGGATGGAGGGAGGGAGAATGTGCCTATAGTTGGGGTTGAAGGGGGTGGGTTGTGTTGGGAGGGAGTAGATGTGTGGGGAGTGCTAGTGTTAGGAGGATGAATATCAGAAGGATGGATAGTTGGAGTTGAAGGGGATGTGTTGTCTTGGGAGGGATTAGGAAGGAAAGGGTGTAGGGGTGTTGTGAGTAAGAGGGGGATGCATATCAGGAGGGTGGGTATTGGGAGGATGGATATCAGTGGTGGTTGGGATTGAGGGGGTTAGGTTTGTGTTGGGAGGGAGTAGGAGGAAGGGGTGTAGGGGGAATATTAGTAGGAGGGTTATGAATATCGGCAACTACTTCAAGTGTGGAAGGAGCATGAGTTATGGATTTTGTGTCTCAAGCATATAGCTTTGAATGTCATCCATTGTTTCTTCAGTGGAGTTTTGTTGGAGAGTTTTGTGAGAAGGTAATTGTTTCTGCAATGGAATTGGTTGGAGAGTTTTGTGGAATAAAGGTTTTCTTATGAGGGGGGGAAGAGGAGACTGGTGTCTCAGGAACAAAGGTATAGGTAGGTGGAGGTGATTGTGCTGTAGGGGAAGAAGGGTTAGAACGTTTAGTCTGTCTACTGCGGGTAGTGCGGGAGGGAGAGGGGTTGGTGTTGGGGCTGTAGTTGAGATAGGAGCTGTGGTTGAGATTGGGGTGTCTGGGTTTAGAGTGGCAAAGGAATTGGTCTGAGGATGTAGAATGTAGAAGTGGAAATGGGGACATTTTTGGGTGGAGGGGGAAGGGCTGAGCGAACGATGTTGCTAGAATATGGAGTATGAGAGAAACCTTGTCGACGTGCTTCCTGTCTGGCTTCACGTAAAGTGAGACCATTTTTTGTATCTGAGAGTTGCTACCTCAGATTCAAATTTGTAAGTGGGACAGCCTCTATAAAATACATTATGGGGGCCGCCGCAGTTAGCACATGTTCGTGTTTGTGCTGAGCAGTTTGATCGATTATGACCAGGTTGGGCACATATGGGGCATCGGTCTGTGGAATGGCAATGTTTGGCAGGATGTCCAAAGCGCCAACAGTTTTTGACATTGACGTGGAGGGGGTTGGTATGGTCGAACAGGGAGGGATTGTCCACCAATGTAGATACGTAAGGGAAGGTCATGTGTACAGAAGGTAATTTTGGCAATATTGGTTGGATTCTTTCGTTGACCTTTAGGAGGAATGGTGTAGCAATGTACTGATTTCACATCTTGGTCTTTGAGGCATCCTAATAAGTCTTTCTCCACAGTCTGACCAATCTTTGGTATCGACTGGGCAGTTTGCTGGGGAGAGAGAGACAGTTCCGGTACAGGTATTAAGGGTTGCATGAGGTTCTGCAGGAATGGGGTTGCCAGAATGATCAGTTAAATTTGACAGTGCTATAGATTCAGTTTTCTGATCTGACTGTTACCAGACGGGAGCGATCGCGTCTGGTATAGAAAGGGACTCTACCTACTTGTTTTTTGGAGGCATTGTTGAAAGAGAAGAGTGTTGCCTGAGTAAGGAGCTGTAGCAGGGATCACGAAAATCGGTCCCATTTAGCTGGGCTAAACAGAGTATTTAAGATATCTGTAGGGTTGGTGGTGGTGGATAGTCGGGGACGTGTGGAAGAGGGAGTATTACGGAATGATGGAGAATAAGGTTGCAAGGTAGTAATAAGGGAGGATTGGTTGTTTGATGAAGGTTGCAGGGGTGGAGTTGAATTTGAGGAAGTTGGGTGGGTAGGAATGTCTTCTGGAGATTGATTCTCTGCTTGGGTGGGTAATGCACTAGTAGGCATTGAGGAGTGGGCAGTAGTTTCAGTGTTCGGAGCCGTGGTCAAAGGAGAGCCTGGGTTGGGGCTATTTGATAAAGGGGCTAGCCTCATAGCTCTAATAAAGGGATTACATTCTCATTACTGGTCATGGGGAACCTGGATTATGTAAATAGGCCTATTCGGTCCACCTCCTTTCGCTACTGAAGGTAAGGGCTAGATTAGTCAGGAGTACCGTGCCCATAGTTCCCGCAGGCCGTTCAGGACTGGCACTAGGTCAGCCTTTCATCCTCTCAGCACGGCTCTCACACCTTAGGAAGTAGATAGCAGAAGGGGATGGAGAAGAGACGGAAACAAAAGCTGGAGAAAAAAAAAGACCATGCAAAATTAGTTGAGTCGAGGGCTGAGGCCCTAGGCAGGGGAGATCCCTGTATTGGGTCTCAGTCTTCGTCTCCTAAGCCCCCCCACGACAACAACGGGCAAGGGATTGGGGGGGATGTGTGTGTGTTTGTTGTGTGTGTGTGTGTGTTTGTTGTGCGTGTGTGTGTGTGTTTGTTGTGCGTGTGTGTGTGTGTTGTTTGTTGTGTGTGTGTGTGTGTGTGTGTGTGTGTGTGTTTGTTTGTGTGTGTGTGTGTTGTGTTTGTTGTGTGTGTGTGTGTGTGTGTGTTGTGTTGTGTGTGTGTGTGTGTGTGTTTGTGTGTGTGTGTGTGTGTGTGTGTGTGTGTGGTTTGTGTGTGTGTGTGTGTTTGTTGTGTGCGTGTGTGTTGTATGTGTGTGTTGTGTTGTGTGTGTGTGTGTGTGTGTGTGTTGTGTGTGTGTGTGTGTTTGTTGTGTGTGTGTGTGTGTTGTTGTGTGTGTGTGTGTGTGTTGTGTGTGTTGTGTGTGTGTGTGTTGTTGTGTGTGTGTGTGTTTGTTGTGTGTGTGTGTGTGTGTTGTGTGTGTGTGTGTGTGTGTGTGTGTGTTTGTTGTGTGTTGTGTGTGTGTGTGTGTGTTGTTGTTTGTGTGTGTGTGTGTATGTGTTTGTTTGTGTGTGTGTGTGTGTGTAATGTTTTTGAGGTGTGTGTGTGTTTGTTGTGTGTGTGTGTGTGTGTTGCGTGTTTGTTGTGTGTGTGCGTGTTGTTGTGTGTGTGCGTGTTGTGTGTGTGTGTGTGTTGTGTGTGTGCGTGTTTGTTGTGTGTGTGTGTGTGTTGTGTTGTGTGTGTGTGTGTGTGGTGTGTGTGTGTGTGTGTGTGTGTGTGTGTGTGTGTGTGTGTGTGTGGGTGCGTGCGCGCGTGCGCACAGAAAATTTTACTGTATCAGTAAAAGAAAATTGTAGTCATCGCATCGTGTCATTGCTGAAATATCTACATGTAAAAAACAAAACTAAATTTGAAAACGTTTTTTTATAAATGAATTTTTAATTCAATGGCTCTTTTCTTCCGGTTTCTTAATAATGAGTAATAAATAGATTCATTGCTTGCCTTCAAGATGGACACTTCTCGCACCCCCTGGAAAGCTATCTCGCACCCCCAGGGGGTGCGAACACCTCTGGTTGGGAAACCCAGATTATATATATATATTTTTTTTTTTTTTCTTTCTTTCTTTTCTTAAAACAAAAATGTCAGTGATATATTAACCCGATATTTTATAGTTTGACTGACTACTTATCATATTACACATTTTGCCGCCAATATCACTAAAAGCAATTATCTCCGAAACATTTGAATTACAGAAAAGGGTATTCTCTCCATTTAAGTAGGTTTGTAAAAAAACTTTCTCTGTCGTGATCATCTTTTTTATTCTAAAACCCATGACGTGCACTTTCCAATTATATAAAAATGCACTTTTTCACTTTGTTAATCATTTTTCTTTCACTTAGGAAAAGATATTTGTATTATCATCGTCATTATCATTAACTTACTTTCAGCCTTCACTCCAGTGTTAGAATGGAGATACATTAATAACTAGCAAGAAAAGGAAGATTGAAAATGAATGTATCCAACATATTGCTGCAAGTCCAACTTATCAACTAATAAGGCACAGTATACATTTTCTTCCTTTCTACCCTTTCTCAACCTTGACCTTGTCTTCTGTGTTCAAGTATGACTCTTTCTTTCCCTTTCTCGCCTTTCCTTTTCACTCTTCTTTCAAAGGAGTCAGGAGAAGATTAACCCCGTCTTTCGGCCGCAACAAACCCAAGCCAAAGTCAGTTTTAATTTCTTCGTGTCCCGGTGCCAACTTTACGTCTGAGGCAAGGAGCATCTTGGCCAGACCTACTTTGGTTTCCATGAGGGCAAATCTCATCGCTGCAAAGAAAGTAAAGTCAGTACTAAAAGTGATTTATTCATCATTAGGTATGGGTATTATAATAGGTCTTGTCAATAGAAAGAGGGAGAGAGGGAGAGAGAGAGAGAGAGAGAGAGAGGAGAGAGAGAGAGAGGGAGAGAGAGAGGGAGAGGGAGAGGGGAGGAGAGGGAGAGGGAGAGGGAGGGAGGGGGAAGGGAGGGGAGGGGAGGGAGGGAGGGAGGGGGAGAGGGAGGAGGGAGGGAGGGGGAGAGGAGGAGAGAGGGAGGGAGGGAGGGAGGGGGAGAGGAGAGAGGGAGGGAGGGGGAGAGGGAGAGAGGGAGGGAGGGGGAGAGAGAGAGAGAGGGAGGGGGGAGAGGGAGGGAGGGAGAGAGGGAGGAGGGGGAGAGGGAGGGAGGGGGAGAGGAGAGAGGGAGGGAGGGGAGAGGGAGGAGGGGGAGAGGGAGAGAGGGAGGGAGGGAGAGGGAGAGAGAGAGAGAGAGAAGGGGGGGGGGGAGAGAGAGAGAGAGAGAGAGAGAGAGAAGGGAGAGAGAGAGAGAGAGAGAGAGAGAGAGAGAGAGAGAGAGGAGAGAGAGAGAGAGAGAGAGAGAGAGAGAGAGAGAGAGAAGAGAGAGGAGAGAGAGAGAGGAGAGAGAGAGAGAGAGAGAGAGAGAGAGAGAGAGAGAGAGAGAGAGAGAGAGAGAGAGAGAGAGAGAGAGAGAGAGAGAGAGAGAGACTATCAAGACAAGATGAAATCACCAAAAATCTCATTCTCACTCCTAAATCTCAGGCTGTCTCACCTATACAGTTCCTGGGTCCGATTCCGAAGGGTATGTGCGTGAGGTGGGTGATGTTCGCCTTGTTCTCGGGCAGGAAGCGCTCGGGGCGGAACTCCTCGGGCTCAGGCCAGTACTTCGGGTCCCGATGGATGTGGTAGACCGGACATATCACCATTAGGCCAGGGCTGATGGTCACGTCCGTGCCGGGGATCCTGCAAGCATTTATTGTTAGGCATTGAAAAAGTCTCCTTTACCTCTCTGTGTGCGCGCTCTGAGAAAACAAGGCGGCAGTTTCCTTCATCATTTGGCTTTTCTCGGTAAATTTTGGGAATTGAATTCTACCTATCTATATATGTGCTTATATATATATAGTATAGTATATAACTAAAACAGAATTCACACACACAGAAAATGTAGAACACGTAATTAACACATAAGTAGGTCTACATTCACAAAAGTTTGAAATTTGAAGTATTTTCAAAAGGTCTTACTTGTATTCCTTTATGCACTTGCGCTCCAGTAAAACCGTCGGCGGGTACAGGCGAAGGGTTTCTGAGGAAGAGAGAAATCGAAATGTTAATCACACTCCGGAAAGGAAGACTTAGCTACTCACCCAGATTCTGGCATGGTTGAATTCTTCGATTCTCTTTTTTATTTCTCAGTAGCTCACGTTTGCTACTTGTGTAAAAAAAAAAAAAATGAAACCGAAGTATTTTTTCTCGGAAGATTTGGCGTGATGACCTGCCAGTTTGCCTTTTCTCTTGCCTGAGTTTTCACTGAGTACGCTACAGCCTGTCCATTAAAAAATGATTAAAAAAAAAAACAAAAAACAATCAGCACTTCTTTTAAGACACTGCAGCAGAAGTTAATATGGGAGACTTACCCATGAGACAAGCATCAAGATATTTGGCTTCCATGATCCCTTGGTAGGTTATGTCGCCGTGTTCTTCGACCATTTCACTCAACTCCTGACGAAGGCGATGCTGGATCTCCGGGTGCTTGGCAAGCAGGAAGGACGCGAAGGCCAGCGTGGAGGCTGTGGTGTCGTAACCGGCGGCCAGGAACAAGACACTTTGGGAGATGATGGTAAGTTCATCCAGGGCTGCGAAGATGGAAAGTGTGCGTTTTAATCAGTCTGCTGTGGCTGTGGCGTTTGATGTAAACACTAAACAAATATGAATCATACAAATGTTTTAAACTGTATGATGCAAATATAAATTGTATTATGTAAATCCATTTAGATGTAAGGTGCTACTCACGTTGCTGGGACTTGGATGATTTATCGTCTTGTAATGCCGTGGTTCCCTCGGCATCGCCAGTGGAGACTTCTGCTTCTAGCAACAGATCCAAAAAGTCTCCCCTTTTATTTCCACTTCGCCTCGCTCGCATGGTCTCACGGGCAACATCCGCAAAGAAATCAACTGCTGGTACCGACAATCTCATGTTCAACATCTTGCCAAGTTTAGGAAATAAGCTCGTGATAAGAAGTCTCCATATCATTCCCGGTGTAATTTTGAAAAAAGATTCAACCTGTTCAGCGAATTCTGGCTTTTCATCGACTAGTGAATTGCATTCAATACCAAAGGCACAGGAAGCAATTGTGTCCATGGTGAAGCGGCCAAAATTATACTTCATGTCGACAAAGGGCTTGGTGCGTGCTTCCTTGAGGCAGAAGGAGACGAGCTCGTCGGCCTTCTTGCACACCAGCGGGAACATCCCCTTCATTTTGCCTGAAGTGAATGTGGGAGACATGACGGATCTCAGTTTTTTCCACTCTTCGCCTGTCTTCATAGTCAACATGTTGGCCATTACTCTGTCCTTCTCGCTTGACATGTTAAAGCTCCTTCTGTCCATAAAGTGGTCAAAGTCCTTCACGTAAATGTGACTCGTGATTTCCGGATCGCCCACCAATAAAAGTGGTTCGTGGAAGAAGTAGAACCCGCATAACTTTGATCCACCATGTTTATAATAGGCCTGTGAAGAGTGGAGAGATGTATCATGAGATAAATATTCATAAAGAATTATACACATCTTTCTAATCGCAATATGACGGTTGGTGCACAATAACACAATAGTGCACAGAAAACCACATTTATTACCTCTCCTTCAAAGTTTGTTTTCTTATCTGGATGAAGCAAATTATGCATATGGCCGATGAAGGGGACCACAGGCGGAGTGGGCACACCTTTACTTTCCCAGAATCTGTGTTTCCACCTCGAATATGCCCATAGCAGGACTAGCACTGCACCCACCAGCATCCATGTTACTCCTATCATCCTGGTGAAAAAAATAATAATATAAATCAAGAGGAAATCTTTACAGTGGGTACATGGAACACATGAACAAGTGCGACTGAAATCAAAGTTATTTTACAAATTACAGAAATTGGATGGAGGCCGCCTTGGTGCGGTGGTAACGCCTTGAGGGGGGGGGCTTGTGACGTAATCTTTTCATGTTATCTTACAGATTTTGGAAGACAGTGGATTAGTTACAGTGCTAACATATGTGGTCATATAAGAGTCTGGGATGGAACTTAATAACAATAAAGTCTCGCCTTGGTTTTTTTCACTGACTCCTGAATCATAACTTACAACATATCGTAACTCTACAATGCACGAGTCACAAGTGATCTCAAAATCCTGGCGCGGGCCCCCGTTCAACAATCTTCTTTGAATGTTTATTTTATTTAACAATCTTCTATGAATAGAATATTTTATTTCTATGCCATAACGACAAATATCCTGGCAACTAAATTAGTGCATTCCATTATATGGAAACATAGGTTATGCATATTGCTAACATGAGTGTGCGAGCGATAGAACGAGAGATAAAAATATAGATATATAGATATATCTGTTTGTATGGGTGTGTGTGTGCGTGTGTGTGATTATATATATATATATATATATATATATATATATATATATATATATACATAATATATACATATATTATTTTTAATTGCATAGATATAAATATACAAATATATATATATATATATATATATATATATATATATATATATATATATATATATATATATATATATATAATATATATATTATCAACAGCCTGGATCAATCCTCTGTAGGACGTAGGCCTCTCCCAATCTTTTCAAACTTTTCCCGTCTTGCGGTTTTTGTTTCCAGTCTTGGTCCCCAAATTTCGTTAGTTCGTCACGCCATCTTGTCATTGGTCTGTCCCTTAGCCCCTTTGCTATCTATAGCCCAGTCTGTCACTGTCTTTGTCCGCCTGTCGTCTTGTCTCCGACATATATTCTCTGCCCATTACCATTTCTCTTTTTTGATGCTCCCACGTATATCTTCCACTTTTGTCTATTCCCTGATCCACGTCGCCCTCATCCGATCTCTCAGGCTAATTCCTAGCATCAACCTTTCCATCCCTTTCTGAGCACTCATTGGTTTCCTCTCCAGTAATATGGTTGTAATCCATGTTTCTGATCCATAGTTCATAACTGGGAGGATGCACTGGTTAAAGACTTTTCTTTTTAAACACACACACACACACACACACACACACACACACACACACACACACACACACACATATATATATATATATATATATATATATATATATATATATATGTACATCCCCCCACTCATGCTCGCATACTTTTACCCAAATACTGATCATCAGTCAGTGACCGATTTTATGCGAAGGTCAAGTCTAAAGCATCTACCAATAAAAACGCATGGAGTGGAACTGCGGGTAGATTCTGTGATTCTGAACAACGACGCATCAGCCTCGGCAGTCTCTTACGTATTAGCGGTTTGGCCGGACGCACTAACGGGAACTGAGTCTCTATGTCACCTTTTCAGTTCGAAAACCAAATAAAGCATATGTGAATTTTTGTATACCAACGTGCCGATCATTTAATAATGTATGTATATTAATCAATAGTTGAATTTAGTAGTGTTAAGCATAGGAAAAAATATTTGCATTGACTGATATTGCAGCATTGAAGTTAAATGTGCTTGCTGCACAAGTTAGAAAAAAAATTGTGCTTTATGAAGACTTAGCGAAAGTTCAGAAAATCATAATACTTTTCATAATCATGTCCTATTAAAATTCATGGTTCGAGGACTGAATTAGTATATTTCATACCTCTAGAAAAAGTGGGAAATAACTAAAAGGGCAACGACATCGCATTTAATGGCAATAAATCTTGAGAACGCGGGAAAGTGGCAAGAAAAAACTATACACCGAAAGGAATATCATCAGTCGAGAAATGCGAAAAAAAAAAAAAAAAAAAAAAAAAAAAAGTTTTAAATATTGACACGTGCGTAGAGCTATAGATTTCGACGTTGAAATTCATTTGTTTTTGCCAGGCTTGACCAGATTTGTTCCTGAGTTTACTACGAAATTCTTCCATTTCCTTTACCAGATTCTCTTTTCCTTTGCCAACAATTTTTAATATATGACAGAAATTGTTTAAAGTAAAAAAAAAAATAATAATAATAATGTATAGTAGCATCATGTGTGTTTTCTTTGCAAGATTCTAAATCATTCATTGATATATTTTTTAATCTATGGGAACCTTCAGTAGTGTGTTTAAAGTCTCACTATAGTTTTTTTACATCTACATAGAAGATGCTTCCTTTCACAAAGTCACGGGAGGCAGAGCGGACTGAAAGTGTTGGTAACCTGAAGACATACTATAAAGGACGATTTATGTCTGCCTAGACGGAGTACCCTTCTCAATACGGTACAATAACATATATATATACAAAGAATCCTCCACGTATTCACGGCAGGAGAGAGCGTCGAACAGACTTGGTATCGCCGCTCCCGCAGGGCGGTGGTGCGCTCGCTCCCGCCGTGAATGCATGGAGGATTCTTTGTTTTTCTAGGCGAGGGCTGGGGGGGGGGAGGCAGCCCCCATGGGTGTTTGTGTTAGACTATTATCATCTAATGCCAAAATGCTTTAATTTGGGCCATTTGCAGTAATATTACTCTACGGATCGTCCCCATACATTGTCATACCGTTCGAGGTTATCTTGGCGGCCCGAGTAAGGTAATATTATTAAGGTACTACGTGCATAACACGCATATTAGTGGTTGGTTGCTGGGGGAAAGGGGGAAAGGATTATGGTGCTAGTGGAAGTTTCGGTGTTTGAGAAGGTACTTGCAGTGTTGTGTTTGTTCAATTTGTTAATGAAAGCATTGAGTGTTTTTGTTTCGATATGTTGGGGGAGCCTGTTCCAGTCGCGTATGGTACATGGGAATGAGGAGTGCTTGTATGAGTCAGTGTTGGTGTGGTATGTGACGAATTTAATGGTGTGCGAGTTCCTTGTGTTGCGTGTGCTGCTTGCAAGTATTCATGTTTGTTGACGTCTATAAGGTTGTTTGTGAATTTGTACATGACTAAGTCTGTGTGCTTGTCTTGTCCATATTAATCTGTTTTTTTTTATGCGAGATGTAATACCAGGTGTACATGTGTAACTATGTGTAATAAACCTGGCAGCCCTAGTATTGACTTGCTCGAGCTTCTAAATGTTGTGCTTTGTGCAAGGGTCCCATACAGCTGTACAGTACTCTAGTGTTGGGCGTACAAGTGTGTTGTAAGCTACTCGTTTGATGTCAGGTGTACAGTTGTGTAGGTTCCTCCTCAGAAACCCCAGTGTTCTTTATGTTTTATCAATAAAGTCAATGTGTTGAAAGTAAGGTTGTTGGTTAGGGGGATGCCGAGGTATTTTTAGGATGCTGTAGGTGTTAATGTTGGTTATGCAGGGGGTAAGTGTAATGAATTTGTGCGTGATATCTGGTGAAGTGGAGAATATTGCTTTTATCTGGCCTGAAAGACATTTGCCATGATCTTTCCCACTGTTCTAGGGCGTCTATGTCTTGCTGGAGGAGTCTACAGTTGTCTTCAGTATTTATAGGTCGAAACAAAAGCCTGTCGTCGGCAAAAAGTCTAACAGTAGAGTTAGGTGTCAAAAGTGGGGGAGTCATTAATTTACAGAAGGAAAAGAAGGGGGCCAAGAACGGTGCCTTGTGGGACACCAGAAGAGACAAGGACAGGGTCGGAAGATAAGTCGTCGAATAAAACACGTTGGGTCCTACACGTCAAGAAAGCAGTGATCCAGTGAAGAATTGATCCTGTGATCCTGTAATGTCGTAATTTAAGAATCATTCTTTTGTGAGCAACTTTGTCAAAGGCTTTGGCAAAGTCAAGCAGTATGGTGTCAACTTGTTTAGTGTTGCGTCTGTCAAGTTGTCGGGCAATGTCATGATGGTGATAAGTTGGGTTTTACATGATCGTCTGGACTGAAAACCGTGGTGTGAGTCTATAAGGATGCTGTGGGTATTAATGCAATTCATTACGTGTTTATGTATTATGTGTTCAAAAGTTTTGCAGACAACCAATGTGAGGGAGATGGGGCGATAATTTGTCGGGTCAGTTCTGTCACCTATCTTGAAAAGGGAGGCTGATATTTGCGCAAAGCCAGTCATTCGTTAGAGTGTAAGAAGCGAGTGATTAGGAAAAGACTGACAGATGGGAGCAAGGACAGGGGCACAGGACTTGAGGATCAAGCCAGGGATTTGATCTGGTCCAGTGGCTTTATTGGTGTCAAGGATGTGGATGGTAATTTCTGTATGCAGCTAGTCATGATGTCAAGGTAAATGTTTATGATAGGACCGCACCCGTCAGAGACGAAGTCCCCGACTCCCGCCAACAAGGTTGGGGGATCCCGTGGGGAATCAGGGGTTTGGGGGGGGGGGTGATTTCGTTCATACAAATGCATTTTAAAAAGCAAATGTGGGAAATTGAAATCCGAGCCAAGGATAGTATTTCAGATAACAAAGAAAGTTAAAAATGTAGGAATCCGAGAGAAGATTCGGCCACGGATGATTCGATACGGTGTTGCGCGAGCGAACGATCGAGTGAACCGTATCTTAAACGCACGAACGACCAGTAGGATCGCCGTATGAACCAAAAAACCTTCCTAACCCGGGGCTACGCCCCCAGACCCCCTTCCGATTGCCATATTTCCCTACCGTGGGCTCCGCCCCCGGACCCCCTCCCGATTACCGTATTTCCCTATCGGGGGCTTCGCCCCCGGACCCCCTCCCGATTATCTAGCTTCCCTACCGGTGCCTCTATATCGCCACTGACTACACTTGAAATACAAAATGAATTTACCTTAAAGTTGGGGAGACGGTGGTTGGGAAGTGACGAACCACAGACGAAATTCTACAACTGGAACACGGTTATTGTATTTCACTGAGTTTCGTGTTATCCCCGATATTGTAACGATTTCAGTGAGAGATCGATTTTACCGCAAAGTTGGAAAAAAAATCGGAAACGCTTGTAGCACTGTAAACAACTTTCACCTTTGAAACAAACAACGAGAACTGTAACAACAGAACTGTCAAATTTGCCGGGAGAGGGCAGCGATGCGCAAGTATGGATATACCATGTATTTCTAATGAAACTATGGTGCATATATGGTAAAATCGTTCACATCGTGTATTTAAGGAATGAACTTTTGATAAATGCGTTTTTCGTTAAAATTTCATATAAATTAGAATACAGAAATACATTTTACTACAGTGCAATTATAAGAAATTTGTCGTGACGTCACTAGCTACATGCGCCAAAACAGTTCATGTTGGGTTCCCGCGCAGCTAAGTGGTTCGCTGCGACGCGAGGGGGTAGGACTTTGTCGCTGGAAGCTCGTGGGGACTTGTCCCCGCGCGGCATTCTGCGCGCCAACTTTTCCTCATTTAAATCGAAGAGGTTCGCTTCTGCAAATCAATTTTGATAACAATGCATGTAGTTTTTCATCGCCTACAACGCTATGATCTTCAATTTTCTCCTAGTCGGTGCGGTCCTATCGTAAACCTTAACCATGGTCTTGTATGGGGATCTGTGGGTAAGTAGTCTGTGCTAAAGTTGATGATGTTTTGTGTGATTGCATCTATGTCGGCTCTGGAAAAGAGGAAATCTGGTCTGCGTCTGTTTTTGTCTAGTTAGTTTGAGGTCTGCATCAATGAGGACAATGTCATGGTCACTCAGTCCTGGGATAACCTTGGTGTTTGTTATGTTCGTGAGAAAAAGATCTAGAATGTGTGAGGAGGAGGTCATCGAGGTGGTTGTCCAAGGGAGGAGGGGAGGGAGGGGGAAGAGGGGGGAGGAGAGGGAGAAGGGGGAAGGAGAGGGAGAAAGGGGGGAAGGAGAGAGAGGAGGGGGGGAGAGGGGGGGGAAGGAGGCAGTAACGTTATTAGATTGTTAACAATCAATCAAGGTTATGATAACGAATTTAAAATTCCTAAGTTACCTACATTACATAGACTAAAACTTCAAATGTATAAGCATAACAGGAATATATGAAATGTTAGTAGAAATATGAAAAAATAATGTATTAAAAAAGTAGTAATCGGAAACGTTGGTTGAAATTGGTGCACAGAAAACGTAACTTTCATAGAAAACGTTTATAGAAAATGGTTTCACATTAAATGATACATATAGAAAATTATTTACTAGAAAATATAAACATTAACAAGGAACTCTGGCTGCGAAAAAGTGTTCTAGTCTTCGTTTCTGCACGGCGCTGCTGTTTTTTTTTTCCATTTAACGGTAAATATAAGTCCACTGCATGTTAGACTACGTTCCATTCCACTGTATTTCCTCTGCACTAAAAGATGTTAGTGTCCATTCCCTTCTATGTACGCGCGTCGGTGTCTTCAACTTATACCTTGTCCTATATGTGTATTACGGTACCGTAGTGTTTCGAGTGAGTGAAGCGGGTCAGTGCTTGTTTCTATTGCGCGAGTGCTTTGTTGTTGATTCATGGCTGTTTGCGTGTGTTTAAGGATTTGTGCATGGCGTGTGAGTAAGACGAGTGTAAATGTAAGTGCAAGAAAGGTAATGTGTAAAAGTACGTGGCATCTAATATTGTTTTCTCATACCTTTCTTGAGCGTGAGCGGGTTACATGCCTTCGTGCTGTCGGCCTGGAGCTAACTGTCAAGTAGCCAGTCATTGCGCGGAACAGGCGTGTGTATAAATATGGTGTGTAAAAGTCAGTATTTAAAAAAAAGGCAATAAAAACTAAAAATATATTGTATGCTATGTTTTTGTTAAAATCTAAAAGAATGAAAAAGTAAAAAAAAAAAAAGCAAATGTTCATGTGTTCCACTTTGCTTAGCGGAGGAGGGGAGGGGAGGGGACTCATGGGAGGGATGGGCGGGGCGCGTGAAAACACGTCCGTTCGCCACGTTGTCTAGCAACCAGATTATGCTGATTTTGCCAAATTTATCTTTTTACAATATAAAGGAATGTATACAGTATGCATAGATGACTTAATAGCCCTTCTAAAATTTGTGTATTTCCCATGGTATGTAATTTATTTGCATTTCGAACGTTAGATCTACTCACGAATATCATAAAGGTAGGCTTCTCAACAAAATTTAAACAGAGGAATGAAAAAATGACACCAAATGATAATAAAATAGGTATATTGAGACTGGAGTTTATCAATGCAATGTTTCTTTTATCGCCAAAAACATAATTTCAACTATAAGCCACTCTTCTACGCCATTACCCTCCAACTCCATAAAAAATATAGAGTATTAGAAAAGTTAAAACATGAACACATTTAAAGCATATAGTATTATATACAAGTTACAAAATCTATCGTTATATTTTGCATGACTACACTTTTAAAAACGGTTAATCAAATGCATAAAAAGATGAATATCATTGAACGTCATGCACTAATCCCGGTATATTAGTAAGCTTTGAAGGTTCCTTAAAATGTAAGGCCTTAAGCTATAATTCGTTTATCACATAAATACGACTCTATAAAAAGAGATGCATACTCTGGGTTCCTGGAAGTAACTGTGTTTGAATAATGCTACATGCGCTCCCCTTTGTACAGTGTTATGCATGCGTTTGGGTGTTTCCTAGCACTGTGGTTCACGTTTACACCCCCCCCCCCCGTCCACTATGGCTATTTTAATTAGGATAATGCAACAGTAATATACTAATTATGAAAAAAACTGCATTGCAGGAGTGTTGGTCAATAAATTCGAATTCAATGCACGAATAAAAAAGATTTAATAAGAAAAGGCTTGAAAAATACACAACTTAATGTGAGATGCGAGGCGTGTGTTCCTTGTTTGTACACGTATCCCTATGATCTATGTTGTGTATCCCCAGGGGTACGCAGACTCCAGTTTGGACAACACTGTGATAGATAATGGTCTAAGGTGGATTGCTGGTTTCGTTGGTGCTATGTGATGTGTTGCC